AATGGAGATCAAGTTGCTTCTATGTTTTGGCTATTGTAAACAGTGCTGCAATGAATATTGGGTTTGTATGTATCCTTTCAAACCATGATTTTCTCCAGATATATGCTCAGGAGTGGGATAGCTAGTTCATATGGTAGCTTTGTTTTTAGTTTTTAAAAGAACCTCCATACTGTTGTCTATAGTAGTTGTACCAATTTACAGTCCCACCAACAGTGTGAGAGGTTTCCCTTTTTTCTACGCCCTTTCCACCAGTTATTGTTTATAGATTTAATGATGGCCAGTAGTCAAAGCTATGATTTTTCCAGTAGTCATGAACGGATGTGAGAGCTGGACCATGAAGAAGGCTGTTGTTCGGTCGCTCAGTCATGTCTGACTGTTTACAAACCCATGGACTGCAGCACAATGCTAGGCATCCCTGTCCTTCACCATCTCCCGGAACTTGCTCAGACTTATGTCCATTGAGTCATAATGGGTCCATTATGATGCAGTCATAAGGTCAATGATGCCATTCCACCATGTCATCCTCTGTTGCCTCCTTCTCTTACCCTCAGTCTTTCCCAGGATCAGGGTTATTTCCAGTGAGTTGGCTCTTCATATCAGATGGCCAAAGTATGGGAGCTTCGCCTTTGGCATCAGTCCTTCCAGTGAATATTCAGGGTCGACATCCTGAGGATTGACTGGTTTGATCACCTTGCTGTCCAAGGGACTCTCAAGAGTCTTCTCCAGCACTGCAATTCAAAATCATCAATTCTTCAGCACTCAGCCATCTTTATGACGTACATGACTACTGTACGTACACATCACATCTGTACATGACTACTGGGAAACCATAGCTTTGACTATTCAGACCTTTGTCAGCAAAGTGATGTCTATTTTTTAATATGCTGTCTGGATTTGTCAGAGTTTTTCTTTCAAGGAGCAAGTGTCTTAATTTCATGGATGCAGTCACCATCCACAGTGATTTTGGAGCCCAAGAAAATAAAGTCTCTCACTGTTCCTATTGTTTCCCCATCTATTTTCCATGAAGTGATGGGACCAGATGCCTTGATCTTCATTTTTTGAATGTTGAGTTTTAAGCCAGGCTTTTCACTCTCCTTGTTCACCTTCACTAAGAGGCTATTTAGTTCTTCACTTTCTGCCATTAGTGTGGTGTCATCTGCATATCTGAGGTCATGGCTATTACTCCTGGCAATCTCAATTCCATCCTGTGATTTATCAAGCCCGGCATGTCACATGATGTACTCTGCACGTAAGTTAAATAAGTAGGGTGATATACAGCCTTGACATACCTCTTTCCAAATTTGGAACCAGTCCATTGTTCCATGTCCGGTTCTAACTGTTGCTTCTTGACCTGCATACAGATTTCTCAGGAGGCAGGTAAGGTGGTCTGGTATTCCCATCTCTTTCAGAATTTTCCACAGTGTGTTGTGATCCACACAGCCAAAGGCTTTAGCATAGTCAATGAAGCAAAATTTGGTGTTTTCTGGAATTCTCTTGCTTTTTCTATGATGCACTGGATGTTGGCAATTTGATCTCTGGTTTCTCTGTCTTTTCTAAATCCAGCTTGTATATCTGGAAATTCTCAGTTCAAGTAGTACTGCTGAAGCCTAGCAGGAAGGATTTTGAGGATTACCTTGCTAGCATGTGAAATGAGCACAGTTGTGCACTTTTTGGCCACTGGGGTGGAAACTCACCTTTTCCAGTCCTGTGGTCACTGCTGAGTTTTCCAAATTTGCTGGCTTATTGAGTGCAGCACTTTCACAGCATCATTTTTTTGAATTTGAAAAAGCTCAGCTGGAATTCCATCACCTCCTCTAGCTTTGTTCATAGTAATGCTTCCTAAGGTCCACTTGACTTTGCAGTCCAGGATGTCTGGCTCTAGGTGAGTGACCACACCATCACAGTTATCTATGTTATTAAGATCTTTCTTGTACAGGTCTTCTATATATTCTTGCCACTTCTTAATTTCTTCTGCTAGATCCTTACTGTTTCTGTCCTTATTGTGCCCATCTTTGCATGAAATGTTCCCTTGGTATCTCTAATTTTCTTGAAGAGATCTCCAGTCTTTCCCATTCTATTGTTTTCCTCTATTTTTTGTGCATTGTTTACTTAAGAAGGCTCTCATCTCTCTTTGGTATTATTTGGAATTTTGTTTTTCCCTTTCTTTGCTTTTCACATCTTTTCTTTTCTCAGACAAACATTTTGCCTTCTTGCATTTCTTTTCCTTTGGGATGGTTTTGGTCACCGCCTCCTGTACAGTGTTATGAACCTCTGTCCATAGTTCTTCAGGCCCTCTGTCTATCAAATCCAATTCCTTTAATCTATTTGTCACTTCCACTGTATAATCATAGGGGGTTTGATTTAGGTCATACTTGGATGGCCTATTTGTTTTCCCTGCTGTCTTCAATTTAAGCCTGAATTTAGCAATAAGGAGTTCATGATCTGAACCACAGTCAGCTCCTGATCTTGTTTTTGCTGGGTGTATAGAGCTTCTCCATCTTCTGCTGTAAAAAATATAATCAATGTGATTATGGTATTGACCATCTAGTGATGTTCATGTGCAGAATCATCTCTTATGTTATTGGAAGAGGGTGTCTGCTATGACCAGTACATTCTCTTGGCAAAATTCTGTTAGCCTTTGCCCTGCTTCATTTTGTATACCAAGGCCAAACTTGTCTCGGAGTAACAACTCCAGTTATCTCTTGACTTCCTACTTTTGCATTCCAATCCCTTATGATGAAAAGCACATCTTATTTTGGTGTTAGTTCTAGAAAGTCTTGTAGGTCTTCATAGACGCATTCAACTTCAGCTTCTTCAGCATCAGTGGTTGGGGCATAACTTGAATTACTATGATGTTGAATGGTTTGCCTTGGAAATGAACTGAGATCCTTCTGTCATTTTTGAGATTTCACCCAGGTACTGTATTTTGGACTCTTGTTGACTATGAGGGCTACTCCACATCTTCTAAGGGATTCTTGCCTACAGTAGTAGATATAATGGTCATCTGAATTAAATTCTCCCACTCATCCATTTTAGTTCACTCATTCCTAAAATGTTGATGTTCACTCTTGCCATCAGAATTCCAATTGTGGTGCTAGAGAAGACTCTTGAGAGTCTCTTGGACTGCAACGAGATAAAACCAGTCAATCCTAAAGGAAATCAACCCTGAATACTCATTGGAAGGATTGATGCTGAAGCTGAAGCTCCAGAGCTTTGGCCACCTGATGTGAGGAGCCTACTGATTGTAAAGGACCCTGATGTTGGGAAAGACTGAAGGCAAAAGGAGAGGGAGGCAGCAGAGAATGAAATGGTTAGATAGCATCTTTGATTCAGTGAACATGAGTCTGAGCAAATCTAGGAGATAGTGAAGGACAGAGGAGCCCGGCATGCTGCAGTCCATGGGGTCGTAAAGAATTGGACATGACCTTGCAACTCAACAACAACAACAACATTCTGACTGGTGTGAGGTGATATCTCACTGCAGTTTTGATTTGCATTTCTCTAATAATTAGTGGTGTTGAGCATCTTTTCATGTGCCTCTTGGCCATCTGAATGTCTTCTTTGGAAAAATGTCTGTTTAGGTCTTCTGCCCATTTGTTGTTTTCTTTTATATTGAAAAAAAAAAGAATTTAATACACCTAACCCTTGGAACATCATAGTATAGCTTAGTCTACCTCAGATATATTTATAACACTTACATTAATCTGTAGTTGGGCAAAATCATCTAACATGAAGCCTATTTTATAATTAGAATCTCATATAATTTATTGACTACTGAATTGAAAGGGGAATATCAAATGGTGTTCAGAATGGCTGTGGCTGATCACGTGGCTGACTGGGAGCACAGCTTGCTGCTACCCCCCAGCATGAGGAGAGAGTATTATACTGTATATTGCTTGCAGAAGGAAAGATTGAAATGCAAAATTAGAAGTACAGTTGCTACTTAAATGTATATTGCTTTCACTCCATTGTGAAGTTAAAAAATTGTAAGTCCAGCCATTGTAATTCAGGGACACTCTGTGTCTCAAAACAACAAGTATTTATTTTCTCTCAGTTTCTATAAGTCAGGAATCTGGGATTTGCGTAGCTGGGTTCTCTGTTCAAGAGGTTCCACAAGATTGCTGCAAGACCAGGGTTGTGGCCACCTCAAGGATCCAGCAGGAAATGATTCACTTTAAAATTTTATGTCCCAGTAAAATAGCATTACTTATTACAAATGTGATATCAATAAGTATAGAATACTGAAAACATATAGCTAAGCAAAAGAAAATTTAGAGGACATATACACATACTCATACACATCCAGGCTCACTTACATGGCTGTTGGTGCAGTCCAGTTCTTTGAAGGTTGTTAGTCAGAGGCCACCCTTAGTTCCTCACTATATGGGCCTCTCTGTGGTACAGCTCACGGCATGGGAACTGACTGCTTCAGAGCAAATGGGTAAGAAAGAGAGAGCATGAGTAAGTTGGAAGTCAGTCTTAGGCTACCTAATCTCAAGTCATCCATCACTTTTGTGATCCATCACTAGGTCCAGCCCTTGGGGGGAAGGTCTTGTGTAAGAGTATGACTACCTAGAGGTAAGGATCATCTCTTGAAGTTGCCTACAACCACAGTTAAAAGATAATTCAAGGGGTTTCAGGAGAAAATTCAGAAACAAAGATTTGTGTAATATAAGCAAATGGCTTCTTTAGCACAGTTACTTGCTTATAGTAGATGCTAAACAATATTTTTTCATTTTTTAACTTCTCATTTTGAAATAATTTCAAAGTTAAAGTTGCAAGAATAGTGAAAGAATTCCATACAGTCTTTATCCACACTATTTGTTAGAAAATTATATTTGAATACATTATGCAATTTGTCACATGAGAAGGCATTATTTGTAGTCATCAAAGCTTTGGGGCCTGGTGAGAGGGGTCCACCCTGTGCTGAAGTCATATTTGCTCTCTGAGTATATAGTTGTCATCTTTCAAATGTTCTCTTTTTCCTCCTTCTCCAACAGAAAATCCCCAGGGAGCAGCTCTGTACTTTGTCTCTGGTGTGTGTATTGGACTGGTCCTCACCCTAGCTGCCTTGGTGATGAGGATCTCTTGCCACACAGACTGCTGTCAGCATTCCCAGAAGCTTCTGAGGGACCAAGAAAGCAGCAGCAATAGCAGCGACAGCGAGGACGGCAGCTTGGATGCAGCATCTGACATCTCAGTCAGGAGACATCGGCGCTTTGAGAGGACTTTGAACAAGAATGTCTTCACCTCGGTGGAGGAGCTGGAGCGAGCCCAGCGGCTGGAGGAGCGGGAACGTATCATCAGGGAGATTTGGATGAATGGCCAGCCTGAGGTTCCCGGCACTAGGGGCCTGAACCGCTACTACTAGGAGCAGGAGCAGGAACCCATACCCCACTGTTTAGCTGCCTGGGAGAGAAAGGGCCCCGCAGAGACAGTGGCCACTAAAAGTTGAATGCAGTTCTGCTAATGTTATGGTGGCAGAGATAAGCAGGACACTGTCATTTTTGAGACAGTAAGACAGATTTGTCCCTTTTGGCTACATGGAGAAGTAGAAAAACCAAGTTGTTTTATCAACCTTTCTAGATCTTGGAATGGTGCTGAAAACCCACTCCAGCAATGTGGATGGAGATTAGAGGAATGGGACTTGTGGTGTGGTTTCTCTTGATTTCTGAGGATCTCAGAAGTTTCTGCAGACTTCATTGCTATGTTTTATTTCTATAGAAAAGGAAATATTATTATAGCAAGAGGGCTAGGAAGAGCAGGGTTAACTTAACTTAGTAAATGCAACTTAAATGACTGTTTGCCATGGAGGTGATTTTGATCCAGATAGCATGATCCATGCTTATTATTTAAGGCCTATTTTCAAATCTTGTATTGTAATTGCAACCTCTTCCATTTTAAATGGCACCTCAGGGATTAAAATCCTGTTTTTTATTACAGTTACCACTTCACTCATGAAAATGAATAATGTATCATAGGGGATATGTCAGTGAACTAGAAAAATGTCAATAACCTCAAAGGATGAAGGGTTTTATTTTAAATAGCTTCTAAGGACTGTGTTAACGTGCATTTAATGTTGTATGCATTTGAAAATGCAGCAGCAGAACAAAAGCCGTGTCTCCCCCCTTTTGGAGAAAAGAAAACTTTATGACTCTAGATAATCATGACTTTAGACATTTTGTTAAAAAAGTAAAAACCATGTTTGGATTTATAGTAAGAGAATGGGAATGGGAGGTGAGGAATAAAGCCAAAATTAGGTTGGGATAAAAAATAAAAGTTACATAAAATCTTTTTTGCTTCATGTTTTGTTTCTGTGGTTACACTTACTTTAAACAGCAGCCCTTTTATAGGTGAGTATGGTCTTTTGCCTGATCCTTCAAATAACTGGAGAATTTTGAGAAACAGAGAAACCAGAAAGTGGAGAAATGACACCCAGGGGCTTGTTATTTTATGTCTGTTTCTATTATGATGACAGTGTAGTTGAGTGATTGGTAAGTTGATGTAGGACTAGAAGACTTACCAAAGGCTAGAAATAATAGGGTGTCCTCATATGGAGAGGGGAAGTTGGTAAGGAAGGGAGGCAAGGCTGAACCACATTTAGAAATGGATTTCAGAGGAAGATGCAGCATCCTCCAACCTGATACGCACGAATAATGTTAGTTCTGTGTGACTGTCAGATCCCTTTTCTTGCCATGCAGTAGATTCCTTAGTCTGTCTGGATACTCCAGAGCCTTCCTACTAGATTTCTGCTGTTCATTGGCTTTGTCATCATACCTGAGAGGCTGGTTGGGAGACTTTCTCTGCTGTACTCTCTATTAATGATACTTTGGCAACCCACTCTCTGTGATAGAGGCTTGGAAGTCTGCCTTAAGGACTGAGAAGTTACAAATACATGTTTCCCAAGAGAGCAATAGTTTACTTGAAACCCTCAGCGGCTGGCTTGATTATACCTTTTTGAGTGACCTCATTGGCAACTGCCCAAAATCTTGTTAAATCAAGCATCTCTGAATCTGGTTTCAGCCCCTCGCCAACAAGTACAGGAATCATATCATTTCCCCTGAGCATTATATTAATATCATCTATATTGGCCTCTGCCTCTTTTTTAATTTTTAAATTTAGTAAATTAATTTTTATTGGGGTGTAGTTGCTTTACAATGTTGTGTTAGTATCTGGCTGTACAGAAACATGAATCAGTCATACATATATCTACTCTTTTTCAATTTCCTTCCCATTTAGGCTACCACAGAACATTGAGTAAGAGTTCCCTGTGCTATACAGTAGGTTTTAATTAGTAATGTATATATTTCAGTCCCAATCTCCCAATTTATCCCACCCTGTCCCTTCCCCTCTTGGTAACCATAAGTTCTCCACATTTGTGACTCTATTTCTACTTTGCAAATAAGCTCATCTCTACCATTTTCTAGATTTCACATGTAAGTGTTACTATACAACATTTGTTTGTCTCTTTCTGATTTCACTCTGTATGACAGTCTCTAGGTTCATCCACATCTCCACAAATGGTACTATTTTGTTCCTTTTCCTGGCTGAGTAACACTCTGTTGTTTATTTGTACCACGTCTTCTTTCTCCATTCCTCTTTTGGTTGACATTGAGGTTGCTTCCATGTCCTGGCTATTGTAAATCATTCTGCAATGAACATCAGGATGCATGCATCCTTTTGAATTATGGTTTTCTTAGGATATATGCCTAGAAATGGGATTGCTAGGTCATATGGTAGCTCTGTGTTTTATTTTTTAAGATACCTCCATACTGTTCTCCACAGTGGCTGTGTCAATTTACATTTCCGTCAACAGTTGTGGGATGGTTCCCTTTCCTCCATACCCTTTCCAGCATTTATTGTTTGTAGAATTTTTGATGATGGCCATTCTAGCTGGTGTGAGGTGATACCTCATTGCAGTTTTGATTTGCATTATCCAATAATTTAGTGATGTTGAGTTTGTTTTCATGTGTTTGTTGGCCATCTGTATTTTTTTCTTTGGAGAAATATTTTGGTCTTGTCCATGTAGGTCCTTGACCACTTTTTGATTGGGTGATTTGTTGTTTTGATATTGAGCTGAATGAGCTGTTAGTATATTTTGGAGATTAATCCCTAGATGGCTGTGTCATTTGCAAATATTTTCTTCCATTCTGAGGGTTATCATCTTGTTTATGACTTCCTTTGCTGTGCAAAAGCTTTGAAGTTTAATTAGGTCCCATTTGCTTGTTTTTATTTTTATTTTATTTTCATTACTGTAGGTGGTGGATCAGAAAAGATCCTATTATCACTTATATCAGAGAGAGTTCTGTCTATATATTCCTCTAAGAGCTTTATAATATCTGGTCTAACATTTAGGTCTTCAATTTGTGTGTGGTGTTAAAGAATGTTCATTTTTTAACATGTAGCTGCCCAGTTTTCCCAGCATCATTTATTGACGAGACTGTCTTTCCTCTATTGTATAGTCTTGACTCCTGTGTTATAGATTAGTGGATCATAGATGCATGGGTTCCTTTCTGGCCTTTCAATCCTGTTCCATTGAGTTATATTTCTATTTTTGTACAAGGACCATACTGTTTTGATGGGCTGTAGCTTTGTCGCATAGGCTAAATGAAGGAAGCCTGATTCTTCAAACTCCGTTTATCTTTCTCAAGATTGCTTTGACTATTCAGAATCTTTCATGTTTCCATACTATTTGTAAAAATTTTTGTTCTAATTCTGTGAATATTGCCATTGGTTATTTGATAAAAATTGCATTGAATCTGAAAATAACCCACATATTTTCAAGTGCAATGTGACATTTACCAAGAGAGATCCTTGACTTAGCCATTGAAAGCCTCAATAAAGTTAGTAGACTGAAAAACCACAGAGGGTGATTGCAGAGAAGAAAGCTTTTAAAAGAAATTAATATCAAAGATATTTTTAAAAATCCCCATGTGTTTGGAAATTAAACCTTCACTTTTAAATGATGGGCATATCTAAGAAGTCATAACAAGGAAATAGAAGCTGTTTGAGAACCAGCATTTAGTTTCATCGATATTGACTGTTTTCTTTATCTCCATTTCATTTTTCTGCTCTGATCTTTATGATTTCTTTCCTTCTACTAACTTTGGGTTTTCATTTGTTGTTGTTGCTGTTGTTGTTCTTTCTCTAGTTGCTTTAGGTTTAAGGATAGGCTGTTTATTTGAGAGTTTTCTTGTTTCTTGAGGCAGGATTGTTTTGCTATAAAATTCCCTCTTAGAACTGCATTTGCTACATCCTATACATTTTGGATTGTCATATTTTCATTGTCATTTGTCTCTAAGTATTTTTTCATTTTCTCTTTGATTTCTTCAATGACCCATTGGTTATTTAATGACATATTGTTTAACCTCTGTATGTTTGTGGGTTTTACAGTTTTGTTTTTTCTGTAATTGATTTTTAATCTCATAGCATTGTGGTCAGAAAAGATGCTTGATATGATTTCAATTTTCTTAAACCTACTGAGGCTTGATCTGTGATCCAAAATGTGATCTATCCTGAAGGATGTTTTTGTGTGCACTTGAGAAAGTGTGTTCTGCTACTTTCAGATGAAATGTCCTATAAACATACAATAAGTCTATCTGTTATAATGCACCATTTATGGCTCAAGTATCCTTATTAATTTTCTGGCTGGATGGTTTGTCCATTAGTACAAGTGGGATGTTAAAGTCCCCCACTACTGTGTTACTGTTGGTCTCCCTTTTTTCTTCAATTAATGAATTGTTGTGTTGCTCAGTTGCTCAGTCATGTCCGACTCTGTGTGACCCTATGGACTGCAGCATGCCAAGTTTCCCTGTCCTTCACCATCTCCCAGAGCTTGCTCAAACTCATGTCCATTAAGTCAGACTTAAATTGAAGAAAGCAGGGAAAACCACTAGACCATTCAGGTATGACCTAAATCAAATCCCTTACAATTACACAGTGGAAGTGAGAAGTAGATTTAAGGGACTAGATCTGATAGATTGCTTGATGAACTACGGGCAGAGGTTCATAACATTGTACAGGAGACAGGGAGCAAGACTATCCCCAAGAAAAAGAAATGCAAAAAAGCAAAATGGCTGTCTGAGGAGGCCTTACAAATATCTGTGGAAAGAAAAGAAGCAAAAGGCAAAGGAGAAAAGGAAAGATATTCCCGTTTGAATGCAGAGTTCCAAAGAATAGCAAGGAGAGATAAAGGCTTCCTCAGTGATCAATGCAAAGAAATAGAGGAAAACAATAGAATGGGAAAGACTAGAGATCTCTTCAAGAAAATTAGAGATATCAAGGGAATATTTCATGCAAAGATGGGCTCAATAAAGGACAGAAATGGTATGGACCTAACAGAAGCAGAACATATAAAGAAGAGGTGGCAAG